AAGCTTCATTCGATCTAGTATGAGGAAAGGGTCACGTTTCAGTAGTTTAGTGGGTAAGCATGGGGTCTGGAAAGAACAGGAACAGGACCAACCCCTTCTATCGACTTTAGTATTGATGTACCTTGCCCATACCTTTGTAGCTCAGACGAAACTTCATTTCTATCAGTAGAAACTTTCAGTAAATTTTCTTGAAGGCAAGTCCGATGGCGTGAAATCATCGTCGCCAGCAGCCGATTCAACAGCTGTACACGTGGTGGACGGCACTTCATCGTCGTCGTCGTCAAGGATGCCGACCATCACTGGGAACAACTCCGAACAACAGCCGTCGGGACGTAAATGGAGACATCATTTTGGAAGAAATCGTTTCTTTTGTGATGGACGTGTAAGTTTCATTTCCAATTTATGTTTGTTTCTACCTTAATTTGAAGATCCCCAAGTTTTCTGCGAAATTATTCTAAATTTAGAAGAAGTGCTGTTTTTGGGGTTTTCTCCCTTTTTCAGACTTCCTTTTATATGCATCGGTTCTCCTTTCCTTTGTTCTGTATGATTTCTCGAACCAATTTTCCGGGTGGCAATGTGAGCTCTATCTTCGCTAATTATTTCCATACGCAAAACTTCACTCCGTGTTCCCAGTATCCAATTATCCGGTTGTACTTAGCATGCACTTGGAGTATGATATGGAAAAAAACTAGCTGAAGTGATGGTTATTCAAATGAGGCAAAGGCCCCAGGGGTGTCAGGAAGTGAGAGCTCTGTGAAAGCTTTCCTGGTAGCTCGCTAGGGACTTGGCGTGCGAGGGCGAGAGAAAGCTCCGCTGAACTCGATCTCAAAATAGTTGTTCCCACTTCATGGGGCATTTGTCAAATGGGATTCTATCTTGAGAGGAAATTAAAACTTTTTTTGTGGCCTTGCAGCACAGCAAAGTAGAATGCGAGGGCTTCCTTGGAGTTTTCCAGTTTTCAACATAACCAAAGTTAAAAGTAAAATAGTAGATAAAATAGAGTAGAAAAGGTGGGTGATTAAGTGATTTGCTCCTTTTCCTATGAGTTCATATAACGACTTGTTTTCTCCTAGGCTCGACCTTAGCTTCCAGTACGGGGAAAATAGTTTTTTTTTTATATCTAATCATATTATGGGAATTTTTGATTAGTCGTTTGTTTATTGTTGTTTGTTCCCGCTATTTTTTATGGATCATGCTCTTCATCATTTATTTCACATGCTGTATAGCATGTGTGTCATTAAGAAAATAATTATTTCACTGTGGTATTTTGTGAGCACCATTTCTATTTCATGAGTATGTCACTATTTTCTGAGTGTATTTTGCTAATTTAGATAATTATGGCTCGGCAGATCAATGTTTTCGTCTTCACTTTGTTCTTAATTTCGACTACACTGACGTTATTTTTCGTTTTTGAGTAAGTTCTTGGTTTTCGTTTCTCTATCGATTATATTATGTTATATTATATTATATTGTATTGTACTATATTATATTATA